CACTCTCGACAAAGGATGTGGGTTTCTCTGCCGCCAGTTTCATATACAGAAGAAAAGTATCCATTTTAAAATGGACTTAAAGTTTGAATACTAAAAAACCTCCTTTGCCTTTAGTTGACATATATTAAGGCAAACCCTTACCACGAGATGGATGACAAGTGAGTGCATTTAAACCCTGGGTGTTCCGTTGACCATCTAAACTGCAAGTGTAGTTTTTCAAAAAAAAGGCAAATACCTCATTTCCATTATTAAACTTACTGTACTTTCCTTTGAAATGCAGAGAAGTCTGTAATTGTCATTTCAGAGGCTGCTGTTAAAATATAACAACCATTCCCAGATGTAGTTTGGTGGAGAATATTTTTATAGAATGAAACCAATTTCAGTTTGGTTGTTTTTCACTTCCCCTGATATTCGTTACTTATATAAAACAAACTAAGATGGTTTTGATAGATTTGTAAGTGTTTCTGTTACATTTGTATAATAATAAAAATCTTTGCATTTGATATAGTGCTTTTCACATCTCGGCATCTCAAAGCACTTCATAAAATATACTGTAAAGTGAATTGACTGTATATTTGTGGGCGAAACGCGGCAGCAATTGTGCATAGCAGTATCCCACAAACAGTCGTGGTTGGAGTGACAAAATTATTATTTTATTTTTCTTGAGGGATTATTTACAGGGTGTTTACTGGATATCCATCTCACTGTTATGGTCTCAAGTATAAACACTGAAGCCTGGATCAAATATATTGGAAAGCATCGGGAATAATGGGAGAAGAGGAAATTTTGATTGACACAGCAGAGGTTGATTGACAGCATGGTAACCATTTTGAATGTGTCAGGGGCCTTGGGCAAGTTTCCTTACTCCACATGCCTGATAATAATCCCTCAAGAAAATAAAACAATAATAAATTGTCACTTCAAACCACGACTGCTTGTGGGACACTGCTGTGTGCAATTGGTTGCCGCATTTCACCCTCAAATATACTCTACACTCAATTCACTCTACAGTCTATTCTGTGAAGCGCTTCGAGACGTCTAGAAGACGTGAAGTGCGCTATATCAAATGCAAGGATTATTATTTTTATTTCAGACTGGATTATTTCAAATTCAAGACCGCACGTAGATTAAACCAGAATCCAATCTCAGTAAAATAAAAGAATTAAAGGATTTTTCAGATTTTCTTTGTGGTGGAGGCTGATCTGACCAACTTGAATCAAACAGAAGTGGAATTTTGAGAAGTGTGGCGCTTTCCAGTTCCTGATAAAATTTTTTTTACAAAGCTGTTGCTTTGTGCAGTAGCTTCTAAAATCTTATTGTGCAATATCAAACTAAACTCAAATGCAAGCAGAATGGAAGTACAGTGTAGGATTGGGAATATTGCTCTGTTTTGATTATTAATAAATACTGACTTTGTTTCTTATTTAAGTATTTTTCACATTTTGTATCTCTGAGCCATGTACAAACCATTGTTGTTAGGCTACATTGCTCACATCTGACGAAAGATCTAGACTGACTGGGGGTAGAAGTTTGTCCCTGTGCGAAGCTACTTTGAAGCAATGTTTTCCTGTGTGCGCAGGAATTCCTGTGGCATCTGGATTCTCCGAGTGACTGATGTCTGGACTAAGCCATGGTGCTTTACATCTGATATAACCAAACCTATTGAGTATGTAAAGTGGGCTAAAAGCCAGAATGTGAAGTCTAAATTCATTTGTTAAAATGTGGCAAAAAGAAGAAGTTCATAAAACCATGTAAACCTTGGACTGGATGTGTTTTGAGATGTCCACAGTCCCTCCTTTCCCTATTTATAGAATGTGCTTAATTCCAGGCATAGTTTATAGCCGCTGGTTTGTGACCTCTATGCATCACTGCAGGAATAATGAGACCCTGACATTAATGCCAAAGATTGAAGGGATGTTACACTTGTTTCTGCCTTAAAGTGGCACAGATATCTTATTAGAATCGAGACATTTGGTGGACGCTAAAGTTTGAATGCTGAAGCCAGTTGAGGGGCACGAGATGTAGATTAATATAGGATTACTTTTTTAAATGTCTCCTTTACTTTGAGATCATCCAGATGGACCTGCAATGGCCTTTTCCATTCCTATGGTGTTTGTTCCAATGCTGTATTCAAAAGAAGAACATTGAATGGATAGAATATATGAGCAAGATGAAGTTATTCCCCCCACCCTCTCAATAAAACTCAATTTACACCTGGAGCACTTAAGAGACAGGCATTCTGATGCTAATCAATTTTAATTTGAATAAACCACTGCTATCTGCCATCGAGCACCTCAGGAGTTCTCCCCAGGAATATTTTCAAAGTGAAATTTTTTTTCAATCCCCACTGTTGTACATTTGCTGTTCAAAGCAAGAAGCGAGGAATTCACAGTGTGGAACGTAACCCTGTCTCTGCTTACTACAGCTTCAAAGATTTGCTGCTGTGAAACTTCCTTCAGTAACGAGATTTATTTTTTTTAAATAGAAAAATCCTTTCGATTGTTTTGTACAATGACATCACTTGAAGGCCGCATCCTGTTTCTTTCGGTCTTGTTTCCAGGGAGTTTTGATATTTTATTCTAAGACGATGCTGATATAATCTAAATCCATATGTAAACTTCTGATGGAGACATGGAGAGCATCTGAATAGTGGATATGGTCTTCCTTCCTTCCCTCCCCCTTTTTAAGATGAACGGTGAGATTCAATTTTAATGCGTACTGGCTTGGGTGAATGATTGACCCGATTCTCTCCACACTTCATCTCAAATTGGCACAAAATAATGAAGAGTTTTAAAATTGTTTTAAATGTTTAACCCTTTTGCCCTCACCGGGAGAGCTTTCACCAAAAACAGCTTTGACATTTGAAGCACTTATTAGGAAGGTAAGGGCAAAAGGTTAAAGCTATTAAGAATGCCTCATAATTATTACAGCTCACTATGCCTGTGTTAAAAAGTTGTTAAAATAATCAGCTGGTTTGTTGATGGGCCACATTCAGGATTATGAAATGAATCCTCCGAGTGGACTACAATTGATTATTTCTAATAACAATCCGGGTTTTTAATAAAAGAATGTTTTTATTGAAACCGAATAAGGAGCATCATTAGACAAAGCAAAAGTAATTTACATCTTTGACAGCTGTTTTCAGTTGGTGCCAAACCTAACTATTCTGCAGCAGTTGTAGGGGAGGAAATAAGCTGGAATGGTGGTAAATGAAACCACTTGTCTGGTTTCAGCATTCTCTTTGTTGTGGTTGCAGCTCTCCAAACTGGGCTCCTAAACTCTGTAATTACACTGTCCATATTCCTAGGAAGGAAAAAGCAATGCAGAGGAAGTTTTCTCCTCTAGGGTATTTGATTATAGCGACGGAAGGAAGGGTCTTGCTGAAGAACTCCAGGGCACTTGTAATTGGAGAAATATTACCTTGCAGTATACATGCTGTTTTTATAAATACAAGCAATGGTCAATTCATATAAACCTGCCAAACTAAAGTAATTACTGAGTATTTTCACACATTTAGCTGTGTGGAGGTCTAAAGAGTCTCTCTGTGACTTGGCAGAACTGAGAACTAAATAATTTCAACAATTAATAAAAAGTGATTTGTGTGTGGGCTTTTGGTGGCTATAATATACAACAGGAATCAAATTCTGGAAGGAAGTGGAAAACATTAAGGCTGGTTAACCTTCTTTATGCATGTTTCAGTTGTGATGTACTGTGCTTTGGAGAGTACAGCATCAATTCATTAGTTATAAATAAATGTAAATATTTTGTCCTGTTTTAAGCTACAATGAATTAAGCTACAACTCAGCCATTTGTCTTATATAACAGCATACACTTTGATTTCCAATCGGGTTAGTTTGTAAAGCTTTAAAACGCTTATTTTACATGAAAGACGGTAACTGGACATCCTACTTGTCTGTTGCCTGACCAGGACTGGGTCCATAATAGCGATAAAAATTTGTGATGCTTTTTATTGAAATATTTGAATAATTGTTCCAGAGGTGTCATAACCAGCTGTTCCTGCATCTCCTCAGACCTACCATGGTAATCGCCATAACTAACCATTCTTATCTGATGCAGTACTTGGGAAATGAGGGTCAGGCTATGAGGAATATGCTGCTGTAGCCTGGCATTAGCAGGATGGATAGCAGGAGTGACTCCTTCTCTACAATTAGATTTTAAAACTTGAAATTATGTTGAATTTTGAATTGGCCTGCTATTTGATAATAACAATAATAATCCTTGCATTTGATATAGTGCCTGATCACGTCTTCGAGACGTCTCAAAACGCTTCACAGAATATACTGTAAAGTGAATTGACTGTATTTTGTGGGCGAAAACAGAAGCTAATAAATCATTTGCTTGCAATGCTGATGTAGCTATTTGCTGAAACAGTTGTACTTTACACTTTTAATTAGTACATTGCAAAACAATGACCAAAAAGCAAGTTAGCCTCCTTGCTCAGAGACATTACCTAATTTCAGGTGCTGTACGGCTTTTGCAACATAGCTAACTGCTGCTATCTAAGGAAATATTCTAGCCTATGAGAAGTGCGTCTGAGCAATATTGATGACATTATAGATACCTGTCTGGTAATCAACAGCAAATTATTCCTCGATAATGCAACAGTAATGTTGGTGCAATTTTTAATGTTCCCATGTGAGGATCATTATGTGTCAATAACCTGGTTGCATTGGTGCACACAGTTGGTAAAAAAAAATATAGGCCCAAAGCTGTATAAATTCCTCACACAAAATTCAAACGGAATATGCTATGTTTCAAACATAACTCTGCAAGGAGTGGTTTTGTTCCTTCTTTACAATCTACTCTTAGATTTCAGTTATGAATCAAATTTTGCTGATGTGGATTACGATGCCCCTACAATAGTTTACTGCCATGTAACACTCTTGCCGTAACTGCATTGCTCTGCCATTGCCGGTACTTCAGGACACCGTGCGCTGAATGCTATGTCGTCTTTTACAAGTTTTCTTTTTCTTTCTCAGGTACTCCTTTGGTAAGTGGATGAATTTTGGACTTTTAGAAGATTTTGCTGTACCACAGAAAATGTGAGCTTTTAAGAAAAAAANCAATTGCCAGTAATTCTTGTTCGTGCAGCTGAGTAGACTTATTGAAAGGTGAGTTATCAAATTAACCAAATAATGTCTGTCTATAATTGTTCTTCAATGGGTCAAAAAAAGCCCTGTTGCTGATGTACAACGCCAAGGTGCCATCTGCTATTCGGATAGATCTAATGGATCCCATAACATTATTTGACAAGAGCTTCTCAATTACTGGAAATTATGATATGCACTGGGAATTTTCAAAGCAAGCTTATGTTTCAGTTGAAGTCAAGGTTGCAAATAGTTAATCTCTTATATGCAGCACTTTGTAGTGTGATGCATTAAATTGTTACAGGGAAAACAGGATAACTGCCCATCAGGTTATTCTAATTAAAATTTAAGCAACCCAGAAACCATTTGCTGGCCACTTGGAACTGGCACAGAAGAGGGTGGAATGACAAGGCAAAACAAGTAAGCCGGTCCAACATACCATTTTAATTAAACACTTTACTATCGGGGTCAGACCTTTCCACTGCTTCAAGGTCTGGAACCTGCTATTTTTAGTTTTGGAACCAGCAGAGGATATTCATTTTAAATCCAATTGACCTGTTGGTGCAGATAATGAGATTTAGATTAAGGGACCCTTTTTGTTTGGAACAAATTCATTTCTGGTCAAGATTATCAAGTACTGATTGATGTAAAGACAAAGTGAAGGAGATTTAGAAGGAAAAAAACAAGGGCAGTTTTAGAAATAAAAGAGATAATCCTCCCTTTCCAAAAATGAATATTGTAATTTGAATACCCACGTGCATAAAGTATTACTTTTTATGTAATTCTAGAATCTGGATTTGCACCTTTCTGGTCAGGCTGGTTTATGCTAGCCACCCAGAAACCATGTTTGGTCTGTAACTAAGTAACATTACCTCATGGCACTAAGTACACAACTGTGGAATGTTTGGCTCTGCCGGTAAATTATTTTATTGAAAAAATAAACTCTTTCATCTTATCTTTGCTGTTTTCTTCTTCCAAACTATATTCTCTATGCTTCCTTCCTCCATCCCTGCTCCCAAACCATGTATAGCTTTACTCTGTGCCTACTTCAAGAAACTTTTGATGTTCCCAGTAAATATTAGGAATCTCAGGTCAACCTAACTAGTCCACCACTATTGCCAATGGTTGATATAATAAACTGACCTATTAGCAGTATTTAGCAGTAGACTGCAGCTAAATTTACAGAAAATGTTTGGATTATTTTTATTGGTTTCACTAAGAACATAAGAATTAGGAGCAGGAGTAGGCCATTCGGCCCCTCGTGCCTGCCCTGCCATTCGATAAGATCATGGCTGATCTTCTGACCTAACTCTAATTACCTGCCCTATCCCCATATCCCCTAATCCCTCTATTTTTAAAAAATTTATCAGTCTCAGCTTTGAAAATGTTCAAGGACTGAGCATCTACAGCCTTCTGAGGTAGTGAATTCCATAAATTCACTACCCTCTGAGTGAAGAAATGTTTCCTCAACTCTGTTCTAAAAGGCTGACCCTTAATTTTAAGACTGTGACCCCTGGTTATAAATTCTCCTACCAGGGGAAACAATCCCTCAGTGTCTACTTTTATCAGCCCTTTAAGAATCTTATGTTTCAATAAGATCTCCCCTAATTCTTCTGTACTCTAGAGAATACAGCCCTATCCTCATAGGTCAGTCCCCTCGTCACAGGAACTAACCTAGTGAATCTACGCTGCACCCCCTCCAGGGCAAGTATGTCCTTTTTTAAATAAGGAGACCGAAACTGCACACAAAACTCCAGGTGCGGTCTCACCAGGGCCCTATACAGTTGCAGCAAGACTTCCCTACTCTTGTACTCTAAACCTTTTACAATGAACGCTAACATGCCATTCACCTTCTTAATTGCTTGCTGCACCTGCAAACTAACTTTTTGAGACTGGTGTACAAGGACACCCAATTCCCTCTGAACACTAACACTATCTAATCTTTCCCCCTCTAGAAAATAATCTGTTTTTCTATTTTTGCTACCTAGGTGAATAACTTCACACTTCCCCACCTTAAATTCCATCTGCCACCTACTCGCCCACTCCCCGAGCCTATCTATATCCCGTTGCAATCTTTTTGCATCATCCTCGGAGCTTACTCTCCCACCTAGTTTAGTGTCATCCGCGAATTTAGATACATTACATTCAATGTCCTCGTCTAGATCATTGATGTAAATTGTAAATAGCTGAGGCCCAAACACTGATCCTTGTGGCACTCCACTAGTTACATCTCCTGCCAATTCGACAATGACCCGTTTATCCCTACTCTCTGTTTTCTACCCGTTAGCCACTCTTCAATCCATGCTAATATGCTCCCATTTATCCCGTGGGCCTTAACCTTGTGCAATAGCCTTTTCTGTGGCACTTTGTCAAATGCCTTTTTAAAATCTAAATATACTACATCTACTGGTTCTCCCCCATCTAACCTGCAGATACATCTTCAAAACTAGAACCATAAACTGCAAATTCTCGCGATATCCATTTGATTTACATTTCTACTACGGGGAAGTGAGCTATTAGGTCAATGGCAGTCCTGTAGGAATGGAGAAGTGTTCTCTCTGGTGATAATGGTGGGCTGATGCACCATTGTATGTGCCTGTGTCACTGTATCTTCTAATGATACATTTCATGTGTGTTGGACGGAGGAAATGAGAAGAGAATATGCCTACATTTTCTGGCTTTCAGGATCAGAACTTTGACTTGCACCTTTCATATCTTTTTCAATTGCTAATGCTGAAAATTATGGAGGGAGAAAAACAGGCCTAATATTTGGTCTCTTTGCTGTGCTAGGGAAAAAAAAACTGACCTTGACTGGCTTATCTATTAAACAAAACAGTTGCTCAGGTTTATTTACACTTCTCAGGATAACATGATACAAAATAAGCTTGTTTTACCTCATTAGATGCTGACTAAAATGAACTGGCAGTTTACTGGTGACACTGCATCCCACTACCAGAGCACTGCTAGTAACTAATCTCCATCTCTGAGTTAGTTTAACAAGTTAACTCAAACTCAAATGTATGCTTGTGGCTGTTTGCAATAACTGGTATGTTTGTCAAGTCCACAATAATTTGTTTTCTTCGAACAAGTCAAGCAAAGAGTTGACTGGGCTGAATTGATTCTGATTCTGGGCGAGTGTTCCAGTTCACTATTATTGATGATTTTAATTTCCTTGAGAATGACGCAGCAAGGAAACGCAATCTGGAGCGGCTTCAGCAAAGTTTCAAAGCTGCCGTGATCCACACATTCAATTGCCACCAACACAGATTCAAATCCCTTCTAAAGGTCAGCAGAAATATGGCAGTTCAGAAATAATATAAAGCCGGCAGCACTCTGCTGCCGATCAAAATATGGTAATGAGAGAGCAGAATGTTAAGAGGGTAGTGCACTTGTGCTCTGACGTTACTGGCTACAAGCATGTTCAACAATACTGACTACAAAACAATTCACGGAGGAGTTATGTTAAGAACGACCGGTAATGTGGACTGACTTTTCAGAGAAAAAAAAGTACCAATAGTGCCTTTCTTGGAATGGAATTAAATTTTCCAGCTCTCTAATCATTGAGCAACGTTTAATGTGCCCTGTTGAGGATTCTGATAAATGGTCTGTCAGTAGGAGATTTTGTCCTTAGCATTTTATCTGGTTCTGTTTACTGTCAGCTCGCCCCTCCCACCATCACCTCTGAAATCAATAACTGTCTAATTATTAGTTCTGCTGGCTCCGACAAATTTCGCTATCAGCACCACAATCAATCAGCCTTTTTCCCAGGCGGATCTTAGTTTGAAACACTGCTGGGCTAATTGTCAAGTAATTTGGAACCAGGAGACGATTTATGCCCATAATTAATGTTAGTAGAGATTCGTACTGGGAGGAATAAAATTCTAATTTAAGGCTAATGTGTGTAGGCCACAGGAAGCAATATATTAATGGTTCTTCTACAAATAAAACTGAAAGGAACAAAGTATATTAATTATCTTGTATTCAGTTATCATTCCGCAAGGAGGTTTTAGTGTTATTTCACTGGGAATACTTCTAATTGATAAAGCAATTTAGTTTCCGCAGCTAAGAAGTTGAATTTGAAGTATTTACAAGCTATCAAACAAGATGTAAGTTTGATATGAGGATGAATTGTGGTCATGAAGACTGATTACTTTAACTTGTTTCCTAGGTGTTATTAATCACTCTTTTCTCAGGATTTTCCCTGGGAACGTGGTGGTGGTCCTTCACTTTAAAACCACTTCAGTCCTTGAATATATGTCATATACATTAATCTACTATTTATTAAAAAAAGCTTAAAATCTGCTTAACTTTGTTCATAAAACTACAAAATATTTTATTTTATTTGTGGTTACAAAAGTACTTTTACTGAAGTGATAATGTCACAGTGACCTGACTGAAGTTACCATGGATTTTGTTGTAATAATAACAATATTAATCCTTACATTTGGTTTTATGCCTTCATATCAGGAGGCCGGTCCAAAACTCTTCCCAGGTTATATGATAAAGTGTAGTGACTGCGTGTTTTTTGGGCGAACGCACTTTTAATGCTTCTTTGGCCAATACTTTCATGTTAAATGGAATAGCGCAGGTTTGCGAATGACAGTTGTAGGATCCGGGTTAGTCTATTATTTTAGAGACTGGTGTTCCTATTTCTCCCATAATTTTCAGTGTTCTTCATTTTTGCTGAATTTTAAGATTTGTTGGTACTTTCAGCTGGTTTTAATTGCCATAAACTTTTAAAAATGGAATTAAATCAGATAGAGCCATTGATCTCTCACCCTTCATTTCCTCAATGATAGAATCTGGATATTGGACAGCATAATCGTTGGGTGCTGATGGGGCAGAGGTTAGTTCTCCATAGCATCTACTGAACAGATATTAGACTTTACGAAGTTGCAATGGT